CTTCGACACGTGGATCCGTACCTTACCATGCATTTCGTCACAAAAACTTCCGGTCCCGCCCACTGGTCCATGGTCCGTGGAAGATTCCTTTAACAGTGTCAAATGGTTCTGTTTCGGACATCGGGAAGAGCGTCGAGTGCAGATCACACATCACAAGGGACGACAGACAAAAAAGTGGCTTTCTCTTTCCTTCTTTCTTGGCCGTCGTAACTTGTAGTGTGTGGTCTGCAACTGACCTTCTCGGTTTCCGGAATGGAGGGTACATGAGGTTCGTTACGAAAGTCCATCCAAATGTTAGCTATTCAACAGTGTTGGTGAGACACCACAATAAAATCAGCCGAAGACGAAACGCTAGTAATCATAACATGCAAAAGTGTCCAGAGGAAAAAGAGCTGGGAAATCGTCAGGAAGTCAAGGAACGACTGCACTTCAGTGAAACTGCACATGGTCAGGCTATTTTCGGGCCGTGTTATTCTCTAGAACTGAATTCGGAATTTAGATGGGAGAAGGCGGCACAAGTTTTCACGTGATTTGTCAATGACGTCCTTTTCACTGCCTGGCTTGAGTCTGCGTACTAGTTGGGATTATGTAAAAATTCAAGGAATTCAAACTGATTTCAACTTAAATGTGTTTAAATTGTCGTGAATCAAGGTAGAGATGGTCAGTTGTGCGGAGATGGTGGAAAAACCTTGAGAAACGGCCTAGAAATCAGAACATTTACTTGTGCGTTGATTGCTGTACTATCACGCTAACGCGTTTTCTGCCAAACGGCTAGAGGCTCGGCCAGCGAGGGGGTGGGCGTGCCACTGCGATAGCGGCGCGGAGGGCCATGCTAGATCGCCGGGGGCATATCCTTCGCTGCGAATTGCGTGTCGGTCCGCACCCTTAGAGGTCCGCCTTTCTTCTCACTAGCTAGTTTCCTCTTTTTTCAGTCTCCGACCTCATCGTGGAATCCTTCTTTAGTAAATCGCTCCGTTGGTTTTTTAGTGCGCATGCGAATTTTCAACCTCAAACGATAGTATCCTCCTTCATAATCATCTTCTTCCAAATCTCTAAGGCAATATAGAAGCTACATACGAGGTCCGTGTTCTCGAAGAAGTACTAAATCTTCTGTGAATAATCACTCTTCCAAAAAATAGACTCGTTGGTCCTTTTTCTTTTTTTCAGCATACTCTACTGAAAGTTTAGCTTTAAACTCACAGGCGCTCATGGGTTTCTTCAAATTTATTTATGAGAAGCAGTAAAAAAAACCCTGGGACTACGAGTAGTGCTTCCCAAATTGTACTGAACTTTTGGAAATCTCTGAAATGAAAAGGGTTAATTTTTCAACTCTATTGATCAATTTTCGTCATTTTCTTGTCAAAACTTTTTACTAGAATTTTCTGTGAAGAAAAAAAAAACGGGTAAAGTGCAGCTTCCGTACAGACATAAAGAGCATGACCACTGCACCGGATCAGCAAGCCGTGTAAAAGTCGTAAAACAACAGTCACTAATGAAACTCTATGGGTCGGACAAAGCGATTACATAGGAATAGTTCAGTGACGTCAATTTTTCACCGTAGAACAGGGCTACAAGCGTCAAACTTCATGAACACTCGTTAAAATCTTAAAGAAGCCGCTGAAATAGGAGGGAGGGATTGTTCTCCATAAGTAAGCTAATTCACCATGGTCTGAACCAGGGTCCCGTACCGGTCGCTCACCACTGGTGTGGGAAGACCCACCGGGGGTGGGTCTCCCTAATTCGATGTGACTTACCAATGCACACCTTTACCCACTTTTTGGCCCAGTTTCGAGGTCGTTTTGTCACTGAAATCGAAATCTTGGTCTTCGGTACAATTCATTTCGACGCACGCCACGCCCTCTGTGGGCGGGGCTCCGCTTAGCTGATGTGTGTTTTGTATTACGTGAGACCTTGCCCACCCATCCCACACTTGACGGTCCCTCCAGGCGGATCCCGAGGAGCTAGGGAATTTCGTGACAGACATACAGAACGACAGACGAAGCGCTTTATAGTAAGTTCGTATAACTTTTTGACCTACTCGTCGTGGCTGCCGGCTCTTGGATAGCTCTTGCCTCTGACCGAAATTGAGAGTGTCCAAAAAAACGAGGAAAGCTTGGCTTGAATACTTTTCCTTTAATTTTGTCGATTTTGAAACGTAAATCTACCGCAACAATATACTTCTTCTTCATGCAATTCGAACCATTGCTCCTTATTTCTATATAACGCTGCCGCCAAAACTTCTCATATTGATTGGTGTCAAGGACAGTTTTTATAATCAAGAGATAAGAGTTACACCCCACGCGCCCATCAATCAACGAACGAATGCGCTGCTTGCCGACTGCGGCCCGTCGTTTTTCCATGCCAAGAAACGTTAACCGTGGCACTCAGACCGACGCGCCGAACAGGCGGGGTTTGGCGGAAGAAGGATAAAGGGTGGGGGGGGGGGGGGCAGGGTCAACCCTACGTATTACGCGTTGTTACGAGTAACAACGGGGGGGTCGTACCTGGTTGAGTTTGTAGGAGGGGGGGTCGTACTCACTTTAGTTGCTCGAAATCAGGGGTGGGATTGAGGAGAAACTAAGATTTCGTGGGTAGTAGGTTGTGCGAGTAGAGGGCGCGCAAGATAAAAATTTGCCGTTTCAGCCGGTGTATATACCCCCCTAGAAAAGGAAACAGTGAGATTATAGGTAGAAATTAGGGTAAATTGGTTGAAAATTTAGGGAATTGTGGGAAATTATGGGAAAATTTTTACTGTTTCAGAGGGACTATACCCCCCCCCCCGCTCGACGGCATTTTTGGAGGAAAAAGTGGGCGGAGTTTTGAGGGTTGAGTGGTAGTGGAAGTTAATGTTATAGAGAGGAATATGGTGGTTGAGGGTCGAGAAGGGGGTCGTACCAAATCCACCTTGGGGGAGGGGGGTCGTAAAAAATTTTTCGAAAAGTAACAACGATAGGGTTGACCCTGGTCGTGCGACCTCCAGCGCCTTATCGAGCAGATGGTGAGCCGCCCAAGGTCGCGACATCAACGCTGCCCCCTGCTATCGCCCTAGCTCCGGGATGAACAGTGAGGCATGCTTGATCCTGGAGCGTGCTCAACCATACGGTGTTAGGTAATACCGGTTGCAGGACCTTCTAAGTCAATTCAGTTCAAACTCAAGGGAAGTTGGTAAAAAATCCATGGACAATATTCCTGAAAGTAGCTTAGATGAAGTTTGGAAGTGATCTTGCATGAAAGGGTTGAGATTCGGAAGCTACGAATCGATTTTATTATCTTAACCCTTTCCGGACCGCCTGACACACATGGTGTGTCAGGAACTTCAAGAGCTGATTTTTCCAAGAGTTTGGTTTTTCGATAAAATATTTTATGTTGTTACATACCTATGTAACAGACTCATGCCATGCCGTATGTATTATTTATTGAAAAGCGTAGACAAGTCTACGTGATGTAGGCAATCAAAACGCATATAAAACCAAAAACAGACGAAGGCGCACAGAAAATGGCATAATATCTGTGCTAAGAGAGAGAGAAAAAAAAACTAGCAAAACAATGAGTGGTGAAAAAAAACATAATAAACACAAGTCAAAAGTAATGAGTATCACGAAACCCCTGGAAGAAGGAACCTGAGAACAGATCAAGGAAAACTGCTCTAATTTTCAGAGGCCAGTCTTTTGAACTGACTAAGAGACAAAGTTAGCGTATTTTGACGGAATAACTTGTTGAAACGAGTGAGAGTCCTAACAGGAAAACTATTGAACCTGGCCTGAGTTTTAGAAACC